ACCCATTGCGCCACCATGTGAGGTTGTCCGGTGAATGGTAAATGGTGGTAAAAGGGGGAAAGTTCAGACGAGACGAGCGTAAGCATATAGTAATGGAGAATGACTTGAACCTTCAACCTTTAAAGGCCACACACTCTCTGAGTTACTCCTGCAGATATCAAGTAATAGTGAACTTGATTTTGGGAAACTCTCCTTTGAAATGTCAGATTATATGAGATTTAACATAATTGAAAGAATAGTGAGATAGAATTTGTTGGATATCTTGTAAATTCTAACCTATTAGTAAGGTTGATTGGCGCAAAACCCCCCACCTATTGGAAGTAATACAAAAGGTCCCCGTTTCAAACATTTAATGTATGGATGACAACGGAGCGGAACAGCCTTCCCCGTCCCCCGCCTCACGACGTAATTTCCCGCCCCATTACCCATTTAGGGCGGGACGGGGTCTTTGTCTCGTTTACTACCCAGGTTTTTTTTATATATAATTTTTTGATAATTCATTTTATTGCCTTAAAAGTTAAATTACTCAAATATATTTGGTAAATTAAAATTTTTATTGTTTGTCATATTTTTTAAATAATTTTAGTAGCAATTTTTATTAGAACTAATGAAATTTCGTGAAAATTTTCATTTAAAATATTAAACTCTAAAAAAAAAAATTAAATGAAGTGGGGCAAGGTACCCGTTACCCGTATTCGGCGTCTCCATCCCCGGCTCAAATACCCGATTGAGTAATCATCGCCCCGTTCGAGCTGGGGCCTCAAATTAAATGAGGCGGGGCAAGGTACCCGTATCGGGCGTCTCCATCCCCGGCCCGAATACCCGATTGAGTAATCATTGCCCCGTTCGGGCTGGGGCCTCACAGGTATCGGGGTTTTTAGGTTTTTTTTTGGTCATCCCTAATTTAATGCGAAATAGCTCTGCCGTCCATTTTCTCAAAAAAAAAAATGTAAACAACTAATATTCACTCATATTTAAATAAAACAAGAATAAAAGAAGAAGAAATAAAATAAAATACTAATTGTAACTATAGTCCCAATTTTTTAAAAAAGTACGAACGAACCCAAATAAATTATTTTTAAAAAAAAATCGGTTTCTCTTCCCCTTCCACTACCCTCTTCCTTTTTGTGGCTGTGTTAATTCCTGGTTTTAAATTTTGCTATGTTTAATAACTATACAATACGTGAAAGTGGCATCAAAGAAGCAGTAAAATTCCAAGAAAACGTTGAATAGAAAGAAAATGAAGATGAATATGAAAATGGATCCAATTTCGATGAATCAGACAAATGATTATGCCACTTTGACAGAAAAATGTTGACAAATACTTTGACATAATTAGTGTTGGCAATATATGATTGGTTGTAAAAGTATAATGTATTTTAAACAATCCAATGAAAAGATACCATGTGACATTATGTCAAGAATTATGTCAACTATTATGTTATTGTAGGTGCTTTTTTGGAAACTAAAGAAATCAAAATTAGAGAAAAATGAGGTTAATGAACCGCTAGAAACAATACATTTCAGGAAAAAATCCAGTTAAGATTCGAAATTAAAGACCCAAAACCTTAAGAAGAACACACAAATATAGGCGTGTGTATGCAGAATGTATTTACTTACGGAACAACAATAATACACACATTTTTTGGGGTGGCAGGGGTTTCGGTGTGGGGAAAGTTTCGAGTCATATGTGTAATTTGTCGCAATGGCGAAGTTAGTGGTGGGAAGAGGAAGAGAATAGTGGAAGGGGAAAATAAATTGATTTTTTTTATTAATAATTTATTTGGGCTCGTTTGTACTTTTTTAAAAATTTGGGGCTATAGTTATAGTTAGTTTTTTATTTTTGTTTTATTTAAATATGATGATATATTAGTCATTTCACAACTTTTTATTGAAACCATAGTGTATTTCGCACGAAAGGCTTGAATCACGACCTTTTGTGCTATTTTCAATAGGTGGGGACTTTTGGGGTTTTGCGCCAATCAGCCTATTAATTATTTGTAAGTAAAGTTTAATTTATAAAACTATTAACATTTTTTTTCCATTATTGTCTGCTAAATATTTTGATGATAATTTGATTAACTAAGACATAGTAGCACCTAAGCATGACTTTCAAAATTATTTTTCTGGAAAAAAAAAAAATCAATCAACGTGTGAGTAGATAAAAGAAGGAAACTTTAGTAACAATGACGTGTATTGATTTGTTCCACGTTCATTTCAAAGTGAAGGTCATTCACAAGGATTTTAATATGAATGATGTTATTAATCTAAAATTAAATTGCATGGCCTTTTAATATGAATGATGTTATTCAGATTCAGGACTACTTATAGTTGCGTTACGTGGCATACATGTGATAGTTTGACATGTAGGGGGATTACTGGTAGCCCTCAATATGAGTAGTATTACTTTTCAATATTAATTTCGTCTCTACTTACTAAACAAAATGAATTCAATCCTTACACGAGGAATGTGTACAGTGTTACTTAAAATATAAATAAAAACACTTTTGTTATTTTTCTAACAATTTGAATTTTTTAATAAATTTGTATACTAGATTACAAAATTGTAAGTAATGGCCATCAACGTCAATATATATATGCACAATCTTTTAAAATACTAAGGAACTGAAAATTTCACATGCTATGCTATGTTGTGTTGGATTGCATGCGTGAAATAAGTTATTTTAAGATTATAAATTTCTTACATGGGAATGTAAAGAAGGGGGAAAAAAAAAAAAAAACGCGGCCAAACATATTATAGTATGAATGGAAAAACATATGTTATCCAAAATTCTAAATAGTAGAGATGAGGATAAGGAGAGATGCAAAGAACAATGATGCCATTCATGGGTATGTGAAATCGAAGATTATCAATTTATCATATGAAATGCTAAGAGCAACCAAATACATACTCGACTAGTTTGTTGTTTTCTTTTACAAGACATGATATCGATTCATGGTATTTTAACATTTTAAAGTATGAATTTATTTAAGATTCTAGACTAGAGAATTTGGAAAGAGACAACTTGGATAGAGAGAACTTGACTATCATTTGCATAGTGCGTATTCAATTTGGATTTTTAAAATTTTTTGGAGTTTTTTTTTTTAAGTGAATAAATTTTATATAATTAAATAAACTTTTATTAGCTTTTACAGAATTTTATATAATTAAATAAACTTTTATTACCTTATATATATATAAGGTATATGTCTATATAACTAATTGCCCTTCCTTGATTTTTTGAAGTATTTATTTATTCACTATGATGTAATATATTCTAAACTTCTACTTATATGATCAAATGACCAGAACAATAACAGTCATTCCCCGAAAAGGGAGAGGTAACAAATTATATTTTTCATGTCAATAAAATTATTTTTAAAAATAATATAAAAATAAAACTCGCCTCAATTAGAAAAATAAATAACCAAAATAAAACAAAAATTATAACATTTCAATACTTTCTGAAAAAAAAAAGTCTCTAATGTTCATTATATCAATATGTCGAAACTTGTAGAAAGTTAATAAATTAAACAAACAAACAATATTCAGTTATTCAGTTACACATTAATATATATTTTTTTATAAAATTTTTATTAAAAATGTTCTTTTTCCATGCAAAAATTGGAAGAAACAATGACACAAGATAGAAATCTTATAAGAATTTTTATTTACAAAATGATCTTTTTTCAAGAAAAAAATTAAAAAAAAATGATGAAAAAGAAATAGAAAAAAGAAAATGAGAATATTAAAAAGAGTAACAATAATAAAAGGTTAGAGAGAGAGATTTTTTTTTTTTGGAAGGAATGCGGTACCTCCGAAATTTTATTAATATGTCCTCACTTGTGACAGAGGAATACTGTTGTTACAAATGATATCAATGAAATCAATAAATAAGGAAGTACTACTTCCTTTACAAAAAGAACAAG